CTTTTTTCTTTTTGCTTATGTGGTGCTGAGGAATCCAACCCAGGGCCTCATGCATGCAAGGCAAACGCTCTACCACTGAGCCACCTTCCTAGCCCATAGGTTTTTTGTTTTTTAATGTTTGCTGGTCCTACGGCTTGAATTCAGGGTCTGGGCATTGTCCCTGAGTTGTTTTTTTTCCCCTCAAAGCTCATACTCTATCATTTGAACCACTGCTCTAGTTCCAGCTTTTTTTTATTGTTCATTGGAGATAAGAGTTTCACAGACTTTTCTGTCTGGGCTGGCTTCAAACCTTGATTCTCAGTTCTCAGCCTCCTGAATAGCTAGGATTATAGGCATGAGCCACTGGCACCTTGGCTAAGAATTGATTTTTATTGTTGAATTATAGTGTGAATTATCTAAGATACTAAGAGCTGCTATTAGCTTCCAGAAATTTGTAATGACTATACAACTGTCACTGTGAGAGTATTGTAGACTTTGCCAGAAAACCATGCAGACATCCAGGTATAGAGAACAAAGAAAGGTTTATTGCCAGAAAAGTGGCTGACAAGACCCCTTCTCACAAGGGAGAAGTGAGAAGAAGCGCTGGCTATTGTCTGAAGTGACCTGTATAAGCTAGGAGGTTTAGGAAGGGCTAGAAGGGGCTAGGAGGCGGAGACCCTGGTGTGGACATGAGGTCCAGGGGCTTCATCATGGCAGACTAGATAAGGGGTCCTGCAGCTGCCCAGACCTGAAGGTCACTCTAAGGGGCTCTTGTTGCCTTCTATGGTGGTAGCTGTCCCAGAGAAGTGCCATCCCAAGGTAAAGGGGGTTGGAGGCTGATTATTCACTGCCTTTATTAAATGGGCCTAGTGTTGCCTAGGAAGGGAGCATGCCAAGCTGTGCAGAGGGGAAGGAGAGGGCTAAAATCTGGGAAGGGAATTCATTGGGTTAAAGTCACATTTTGTGTCATCTTTTTAGGGAGGGGGACAATGATCTTACATGTTTTATGACTTTATACTGACTATCAGAAAGCCATGACAGTTCTTATTTCAGAACTATGTGTAATAAGTAGCCAGCTTCCAAGGTGGCCCCTGATCCTTGCCTCATATTGTCTTCCACTAGGCTTGGACATAGTATAAGGGAGGTGTGTCATTTCCACAATTAAGCTTAAAAAAACCACCCAATCCTTAGAACTACCATTTTAGGTTCTCTCTTCAGTGGGGGGAGGGGGGGAAGCCTCTTAGAAACAATTGTGAGCCCGGAAGTGGATCTTTCACCCCTAGCCAAATCTTCAGAGACTGGAGCCCTAGATTCCTGAACCTCAGAAATTGTGTGACAGTATTTTCTTATTTTAAGCTTGTGCCGGGTGGTGAGGAGTTACACAGCAATAGCTATGTAGATTAGACTATGCCATAGTTTGTTCCGATGCCCCACCCCCTTTATAAGACTACCTACAAAGAGGTCCGATGCCTTGATGTCACAGAAGATGAAGATTCTTCCAGAGTTCCACTGATGTGTCCGCCTTAGCCAATAGCTGATGTCTTCAGTACCTTTCAGAGTTGTTCTCAATTTGTGTTTAAAATCAGGACCAAAAAACATGTTTAAGTGCTTCTGAACATATCCACTGGGTTCCTCCTATAACCACACTGTACTGGCCAGATATTCCAGAGGGAAAGGCAGGGGAAATGTGGGAGTCAAACTTTAGAGGAGGTAAGGCCTCCCCTACCAACCCCCACCCTTCTGTCTGCCCTCTTCTCATGCTGCCTAGCTTTAGGAAAAGTCAATATCTAGGGGGAGACTCAGCTACTACTATTGACTCTCACTTCCCCAACCCTTACTTTTATAAACTGCTATAGCATTTTTCAGGAGGAAAGGAAGAAAGATAATGTTGTCATTTTATTTTTTTCACTTTCTACTAACCTAGAACCCAGGGTTGACAAACTATCCTGAGTTATCACAGCTACCATGGAAGATTCTTAATTGTTCGTGGTCACCATGGATTCTCATAATAAGTATTCCTTAAAAGTCCGCACTGTATCCCTCTGTACATCACCTCTATAATAACAAAGTAAATTATTTTTTTAAAAAAGGTCCACACTGGGTTTCACTGTTTTCATTTAAGTCCACTTTGAAACATTTCCCCTCCACACAAACAGCTGCAGGACCTCTTTTGGTGTGGACATGTGTGATTGTACAAAAATTTAAAGGTCATGTGCAATATAAAAATCCCCTTATTTGCCCTGGACACCTAAAACAAGCAACAAAAACATGTTCCTCGAAGAGCTTATGAAAGACTACCAAAAGGGTTAGAGGTTGGGGAATAATGTCAAGTCTTTTTCATTCAAACAAAGAACCCTCCCTCCTGTAACCCTCAATTGACAGGTTTTGTGAGGCGAGACCCATCAATCCAATCCTCCCCCCTACCCAGAACACAGCCCCCCTACCCCACCCTAGTTTAAGAAACAGGCAACACTCAAAAGAGATTTCAATTTGATGTTTTTTTTTTAAATTTTATTATTATTAACCAAACTGCAGGTTTTTAAGTCAGGTTCGCACTGTTTGAGAATCAAAGCCAAGTCTTCTTTGATCTTTCTTCCAATGGAATGGAGTTCAGTGCTTGCAAAACTGTGAAGACTGGCCAGCAGGTATCCACCCATTAACGTGGTTTCGGGGACAGCTTCAAACTGGGGATGGCGGCTGCTCCAGAAGACCCATGGGCCCCGCGGCCACCGCCGTAGTGGAAGCGTACGTAGCGGGTGGCCTGCACACTTTGTGCCACTACGTTGGTGGCGTGGCACGCCAGCAGCAGGTAGTTTCGAGGTTGTACACGGTAGGCGAAGCGCATGAAGGCTGTCGAGTAGAAGATGAGCGCTGTGGTCATTCGGCCGCTGATGATGTCAGGAGGCGCCTTGGTGTCTTTAATGGCTGCCAGGGGAAGGCCCCAGTTGGCCACAGGACCCCAGAAGTGCGTACTGGTCAGGTATTCCCGGAACTCCTTGGTCATCACATAGTCTTTCATCTTGCGAAATAGCGCTATGATCGCCGCCATGGTCGCCGGCTAGTAGGAATGCCACCGCCCAACCGCTGGCTACCTCGGGACTAGAATGCAGAACCTTGACCCCACAGCTGACAATGACGTACCTTAACCTTGCACCTTCACGGAGCTTTGCCGAAAAGTGCATCGGGCCTCACGTGCTGGGGCATCAGGCGCCTGCGCGTGTCTGCCGTAAAGCGCATCAGGCCGCACGTGCTGCTGTGGTATAGGCCATGTTTTTGGCCTCTCGCCTTCTCATGGCTGCTGTAAAGTGTATCAGCTCACACAGGCAGTGGTCGTATGCCTTTTGGCATGGAAGGACAGGGTTTCACCCTTGCAAAAAGTACCCACAGCCTGTATACATGCATGCCTGGGTAACTGTCCCTCTGCCAGAGTTGGAACCACAGGCTCTCCTTTTCCCACGGGCTATAGCCATCATAAAGCACTCAGGGCATCATTTACCACCCAGAGAGGTGAGAGTCCAACTGTGCAGAAGAAACTCCTGATTTTGCCCAGTCTCTGACTACATGTTGATTCATAATTCCTCAACCACATACACAATTGTACTCCTTACACAATTCATCTGTTACTTGGTGACATAGTGACATTTCACCCCCAAACCATTTTAGCATTTGTCTCTTAAGAACGAGGACAAGTGCCTACTTAATCAAAGTACAATAATCGTCTCATATAATTAACAATTAAGTTCAGCACCATATCTAATATGCACTGCATATTTTATAGCTTTATGAGGGATGTCTCTCCCCTCTCCATACACACACACACTTTGGTCTTTGGTTTTGGTCTTTGTCTCTGGTCTTCTTGGAGGCAGAAGATTCAAGATCTAAAGTTTAAATTTCTTTAACTTCTTGGGTCAATTTCATTTCATCTAGAAGACTTTCTCTGATAATGACATTTTTGAAAAATCCAAACTAGTAGCTTTTCATTGTATCCTTCATTTGGATTTGTCTGTTTTGCCATAGTTATATTCAGGTTAACTGTTTTTTTTTTTTTTTTTTTTTGTCATAGGGCTTGAATTCAGGGCCAGGGCTCTGTCCCTGAGCTTTTTTGCTCAAGGCTAGTACTGTACTACTTTGAGCCACAGTTCCATTTCTAGTTTTTCAGGTGGTTAATTGGAAATAAAAGTCTCATGGACTTTCATGTCTGGGCTGGCTTCAAACCACGAGCCTCAGATCTCAGCCTCCTGAATAGCTAGGATTACAGGCATGAGCCACCAGCACCCAGCAGCTTAAACATTTCTTTTCTTTTCTTTTGACAAAACATCTCCTTAGGTACTATGACTTTAGACTTTAGTGCATTACAGTGGGAGGTACCCCCTATCACTTTGCTCCATTATACTTAAATTTGGTAATTGGTTGAAAAACTGTCTGACAGGTTTGTCCATCGTAAAGGTAGTTTGTTGTTGGTGGTGGTGGTTGTAGAGCTTGACCTCTGGGCCTGGGCGCTGTCCCTCAGCTCTTCAGCTCAAGGCAGGCACTCTACCACTTTAATCACAGCACCATTTTCGGTTTTCTGGTGGTTTATTGGAGATAAGAGTTTCTTGGGCTTTCCTGCCTGGGCTGGCTTTGAACTATGATCCTCAGATCTCAGCCTCTTGAGTAGCTAGGATTACGGGTATGAGCCACTGGCACCCAGCCAAAAGGTAGTTTTTTTCCCCTCACTAATCTACAGATAAGGAAGGAGGGAGCACTTTGAGAGGGTAAAGGTATTCTATTCTCCAGGACTTTCATCAAATAGATCTAACAATCTGAGAGTGAAAATTCCTTAATGACAAAATTAGTGATTATTTTCCTACTTTCCTACTTTTTCCAACAAAAGTAGTAATTGTTGAAAAGTAATTGAATATGCTCTGGGCGCTGGTGGCTCACACCTGTAATCCTAGCTATTCAGGAGGCTGAAATCTGAGGATCTCAGTTCAAAGCCAGCCCAGGCAGGAAAGTCCGCCAGATCCTTATCTCCAATAAACTACCAGAAAATCAGAAGTGGCGCTGTGGCTCAAGTGGTAGAGTGCTCACCTTGAGCTGAAGAGCTCAGGGACATTGCCCAGGCCCAGAGTTCAAGCCCCACGACCAAAAAAAAAAGTAATTGAATATGCCTTGAAATGGGAATACTTTGTACAATGATTTACAACCAAGTCCATTGTCCTAAATGTTTTACAGAGGATAGCCATTGCTCAAAAGGATAGTGGCATATTACTTAGATAACCCTTTTAAAATACTGAAATTCCAAATATGGATGGCTAGTATATTAATGTAAATCAATTCAGCATAAATTTGAACTAAGTAAGCATGTATTGAATGACATGTTAGGCCTACATGTCAGATACCTCACCTCCTAGAAGAAGTATAAGCTTTTACTCCTTGTATAAGAAGCTTTCAGTACTCGCAGTACATAATTCATAGGTTGTTACTCAGTTTTGATTACCCATGATTGTGTAACAAATCACCCAGAAACCTAGTGGCTTAGAACAACAACAATCCTTTATGTACTCATCGATTTGCAATTGGGCAGGACTTAATGGCATCACTCATGCATTCCACGTATCACCAGCAGGGTGGTTCCGCTTGCAACCGGAAGATCTGCCTTTACAATGGCTCATTCATGTGGCTGCTGAGTTGAGGCTGGTTGTTGGCTGATAACTGGGCTAGGATTATTTCCCTCCATTGGGTTGTCCCACAGGTTACTCCAACTTCCTCATGGCATGATACCTGAGCCTCAAGAGCAAATGTAACAAGCTAGGTGCTGGTGGCTCAAATCTGTAATCCTAGCTACGTGAAGGCTGAGGTATGAGGACAGTCCCAAACCAGGCCGAGCAGCAAAGTTCATAAGACTCTCACCCCCAATTAACCAGCAGAAAACAGGAAGTGGAGCTGTGGCTCTAAGTGGTGGAGGGCTCACTTTAAGCAAAGGAGCTCAGGGACAGCTGAGTTTAAGCCCCAGGACCAACAACAAAAAGAAAAGAGTAAATGGAACAAAAGATTCAAGCAGAAGCTCTGTGGGAGTCAGAATTGTAATATGACTCTCGCCCTTGTATAATCCTTCCTTGCCTGTGAGCAGAAACTATGAATATCATTAGCTATCACTCTGATGATGGCCAAAGGTATTCTGCTGATGTAACTGAGGCTTCAAATTGGTCGACTTAAGATGGGGAGATTGTCCAAATGGACCTGACCTGATTTACATGAACCATTTAAGTCGAGGTCTATAGGTCAGAGGCAGAGGAAATCAGAGATCTAAAGGAAGAGATGGATGTATATGAGGGATATTCTCTGTGTGGAGGTGTGCTCTCATGCACGCATGCATGCATGCATGCATGCACACATGCACACACACACTCCTCCCAATCCTGCGCTTGAACTCGGTCTTGACACTATCCCTGAGCTCTTTTGCTCTAAGCTAGCATTCTACCACTTGAACCACATCTCCACTTCCAGCTCTTTGGGTACTTAATTGGAGATAAGAGTTTCAATAGACTTTACCTGCCCAGGCTGGCTTGGAACTGAGATCCTCAGATCTCAGCCTCTGTGAGTAGATAGGATTACAGACGTGAGCCACCAGCCCGCAGCTGTGAAGGATATTGTTTATGGTTGGCTTTGAAGGTGGGGGTAGTCACATGATGAGAACAGGCAGTCTGGAGCCCTCAGTCTGATGGCCATAAAGAAAATTCCACTCACAACACGAATAAACTTGAAAGCAAATCTCCCCCTCTGCCAACCCTCTGAGAACTCAGTCTAGTTAATGCCCACATTTCATTCAGGCTGTGTCCAGGCTGCTGACCTACAGACTTCTAAACTCCTAACTGCATATTGTTTTAAGTCACTGTTTGTGGTAGTTCATTGTGCACTAGAAAACTAATATTGGTTTTTATGACTTAGCTTTAGAATTGACACAATATCACGTTTTTCCACAGGTATAAGTCCCCCCAAGTTCAGTGGGAGGGAACATAGACTTAACCTCTCCAGGGGAAGACTTTCCAGGTCAAAGAGCATATGAGGTGGGAACTATTGGTGTAGCCATCTTTGGAAAATACATATCACTTGAAATCACAGCATTTCAGAACTGGAGTTGAAAGGATATCACAGATTTGGAAGGAAGTATTACACCCTTAAAGCAATGTCATGCACATGGATGCAAAATGCCCAGTGAAATGTCATTGTTGTCTTTGTCATCATCCAGTCAAATCGTCTCATTTGACAAAGAAGGCATAATGAGGGCTAGGAATGTGGCTTAGTGGGACAGTGCTTGCCTAGTATGCATGAAGCCCTGGGTTTGATTCTTCAGGACCACATAAACAGAAAAAGCCAGAAGTGGCCCTGTGGCTCAAGTGGTAGAGTGCTAGCCTTGAGCAAAAGAAGCTCAGGGACAGTGCCCAGACCTTGAGTTCAAGCCCTAGAACTGGCAAAAAAAAAAAAAAAAAGACAAAGAAGGCATGAGGTCTTTAAGAGATTATGACATTTGTCATTGTGACATAGTGAATTCGTAGGAAATGAGGATTGAGATTTCCTACTTCAGGCCTGGGAATGTAGCTTAGTGGTAGAGTGCTTGCCTAGCATGAATGAAACCCTGGGTTTGATTCCTCAGTATCACATAAATAGAACAAGTGGAAGTGAAGCTATGGCTCTAGTGGTAGAGTGCTAGCCTTGAGCAAAAAGAAAAAAAAGAAGCTCAGGGACAGTGCCCAGGCCCTGAGTTCAAGCCTCATGACCTCAAAACAACAACAATAACAGCAAAAATAAAACCAAAATGTTTGTGTCAACTGCTGGTTTTGGCTCACACCTGTAATCCTAGCTACTCAGGAACCTGAAATCTGAGGATTGTGGTTCAAAGCCAGCCCAAGCAGAAAAGTCTGTGAGACTCATCTCTAACGAACCACCAGAAAACCAAAAGTGGTGCTATGGCTCAAAGTGGCAGAGTGCTAGCCTTGAGCAAAAAAACTCAGGGCAGCACTCAGGCCCTGAGTTCAAGACCTAGGATTAGCATGTGTACACGCACAT